GGTCTTGGTTCAAATGATAGCAAGTATATGCGACACTGTCACATTTGAGGCCATCTCCCAAAAAGAAGATAAACTCTAACAATGTGATGGCGCTGATTGTGGGAACTATTCTAATCCTATTTCAGGGAGGCAGTGGTGGAGCTACTAGTCCATATACATCGTAGTACCTGTGAGGGACAAGAGACAGGACCTTCTTTGCTGTGTGGTGCCATCCTTGGTGGAAGCAGAGTCCAAACCAGCACAAAAGAACTTCCCGTATGGTGTTCCTACATCAGGTTCATGAAAAGATTTTACCATCCCAACAAATGTAAGGAAAAATAAGGTATTGGGAAGGTTTTATTTAGGGCTGCACATGATTAAGAATAAAAGTCCAGCCGTGCTGCCCTGCCCCTAGGGCATTCTGTGATGGCAATTGAGACTCAGCATGGTGGCACGCACCTGTAATCCCAGCGCTTGGGAGGCTATAAACAGGAGAATCACTATGAGTCCGATCTACATAGTGAGACCCTGTAGACCCTGTAGACCCTGTCCTGAATACATTAAAAAAAGAAGAAAGAATAAAAATCCAAAGTCCTATGAACTAAGGTCATTTTCTCATCTCTAGTTTAAGCATGTGCTACCCACCTTCAGAACTACAGTGTTTTCTGAATTTTGATTATGCCTGTAACACATTCCCTGGCCTTGGCTCTGCCAGGGAATACATCTCAGTTCTACTTGTGTACTATTCTCCAAGTGACACATTACTCAAATGAGCCTGCTTTGGGTTTTATATTCTTTATCTCCACTAATTCAACACAGGTGTCAGTGAGCACTGGGTATTTTGACTTTTAAAACCTCTTATTAACAGTTTCAGACTTTATAGCTTGTAAATTTCTAGACATCAGCCACCTTCATAGGAAACTGTAATCTGACACAGTCATGAGGTATGTGTGGACACATCATCCTGAGATATTTGCACTGTCACACTAGGTATGATATTTGTTCTGCTGATCACATCATTCATAAAGGCCGGGTTGTTGGCAGATGATAGTGGTTTCTGGATTTTCCCAGCAGGAGTTCTATTCAGAGGTTCAGTTCTTCTTTTCTAGCATGATGGGACTGAGATGCCACCTGGTCCGCATCTCTGCCCCTACGCCGCCCATGCACAAGTCCTCACTGACCCAGCTCGTCTGTTGGGTCAGTGCTACAGCTCTGCAGCATCCTTCACTGAGCAAGACAGAGATTGAATCCTTAGTTATGAGATGATGGGATGAGTATCAGGGCACGCTAAACCTCCTTACTAGTGAGTTATTGACTTCCTGGAGGTCTTCATTGGTGAAGGACGCCTGTGGTTTATGTAGCTACATTTTCAAGATCTAGCAGGACATAAGAAAATACTGCCGGGATCTACTGCTAAGGAATTCAACCAGAATAGTTGTATTTTCTTTATGATTCAGAGCCAATAGTAAATAAAATCCTGATCTTTGGATTTCCTTTCCTAATCTTGTCAAAACCTTTTAATGACTCTAAAGAAAGAATGCATAAATTTCAGAGACACGGCCGGGGAGATAGCTCAGTGGAATGAACACTTGCCTGGCAAGCACAAGGGCCTAAATTCAATCTCTGGTTCCTCCAAAACAAAACAAAACAAATCAGCTGAAGTATTTGTCCCTGTCGATTGCCTAGTGGCTCGCTGTTCTTCCCAGCCAAAACTCAGAGACTCTATTCAAAGTATTCATTTTAAAACCTGACAAATACCTGAATAGATATTTCTCAGAAGACATTCTAACGGTCAACAAGCACATGAAAATGCACCCAGCCTCACTAATCATCCAGAATACAAGTCAAGGCTCAATGAGATAGTGTCTCGTGTTGCTTGGAATATTTCATATATGAAAGATGAATGAGAACAAAAGGTGGAAAGGATGGGCCAAAGGGAATCCTTGTGCACTCTTGGTAGGAATTCCAAGTAGTAATAGCATAGAAAACAGTTTGGAAGTTCTTCAAAATTTAGGAACAAAACTGCTTCATAATCCGGCAGTTCCACATACTTTGTAAAAGCCAAGGAAATAAAATGCATGTCTTATACTCCTATGTTCAGCACTGTTGACACTGGCCAATATATAGACACAATTTTAAAGTCTTTCAGTAGATGAACTGGCACAAATGTTGGGTACATGTGAGATATATATTTTGGCCTTAAGGAGAAAGGAAATACTGCCATTTGTGACATAAACTTAAAGTACATTTTACTAAATGAAATATTCCACACACAGATATATATATATATATTGCATGATGTCAACTATATCTGGAATCTAAAAATGTCAAACTCACAGAAGCAGAGTACAGTGCTTTCCAGGGATGGAGGGAAAGGGAGGTACGTGGAAATGTTGGTAATTTCTGTTGCACAAGATAAGTAAACTCCATAGAACTAAAGCACAGTAATGTGACTGTAGTTTAAAATATTTTACTGGAGCTGTGGAGATAGCTTGGCAGTCTAAACTCCCACCTGGCAAGTGCAAGGACCCAGGTTGGATCCAGGTACCTCATGCCATGCCACGCTGGAACATCAGCCACATGGTGCCACCCACTGAAACTGGATATGGTAGCACATGCCTATAGTTCCAGCTCTGGGAAGGCTGAGACAAGAGGATCACCATGAGTCTGAGCTATTTAGAGAGACCCTGTGCCAAATAAACATATAAGTAAAAGATTTTAAACAAAATATTTTATTGTATGCTTCAAATTTCTAGGAAAAGAATTCTTAATTGCTCTCCTCATGCAGACACACACATACACACACAAGCACAAGCACAAGCACATGCACAGGCACATACACACATACACACACAAGCACAAGCACATGCACAGGCACATACACACACACACACACACACATAACCGCATGGTATGATACACATACTCATTAGCTCGGAACCAGTAAAGCTTTCACAATACATATAGATATCAAATCAATTCTGCTTTTATTTAGTTGAGAAAATTTAAATACATTTTGGAAAATATGGATTAGCAATTACATACAGAAGAAAATGTCCTTACTATTTTAAATAGCTTCTTTTAAAATTTCAAATTGTCAATGTTGCTAGTGTTGTGAATCTTAATGGCATACGCTGCACAGGGCTGAACGTTCCTACTGCTTTCCACCATTGAAGTAAACATTCTTATGCATTTATTCTTCAGTTATTCTTTTATATATGATTGGTGAAATCCATTAGCAACTTTTGTGTGACAGAATATATTTGTGTAATTTATTTCTTCTAACAGATTTTTCTTAAATGAATGAAAAATCACTAATTTCTTAATACAGAATACTTGACCATTTGGACACAATCAGAGCGACCACGAGTTTCACTTTGGTAAAGTTGCTCCTCTGGCAAACTGAATAGCTTGCTTCCAAAGAAACCATTATATTTCTTCCTTCTAAGTCAGTTGATGGCTTCTACAAATTAATTTGAGCGACTATTAATTTTTAATTCTTTTCTTTAATCATTTATTTATTTATTTGGTACAGGGTCTTGCTCTGCAACTCAGATGGTAGTGATCCTTCTGTCTCAGCCTCCTCAGTGCTGGGATTACAGGTGTGCACCACCATGCCCGGTTTCAGTGGGTGGCATGGTGAGTCCTGTGTTCTGGGATGGTATGGAATGCAGTACCAAGGATTGAACCCAGGTCCTTGCATTTGCCAGGCAGGTGCCTAGACTACTGAGCTATCTCCTCAGCCAATTTTTTATTCCTTTAAAAAATCAATCACTCAGGACTTGGTAACTTATTTAGAGAAACACTTATTTTTAAATCTTAATTTATATTGTATGCTATCTTAACAAGGGTTATATGTTGGTCAGTTTAACATTACTGTAACAAAATATTTAAGATAATCAGTTTATAAAGAGGAAAGTTTTGTTTTTCTCATGTCTTTAGAGGTTGTAGTTCATGACTGATTAGTTCTGTTATGTTTACATAACTGGCAAGTCAGTATATTGTGACATTAATAAACTAGCAGAGCAAAATCTTTTTGTAACTGTCAGGAAATAAAGAAAGAGAAAAACATGGGGCTCCATTTCTCCAAGCAAACATCCCTAATCACCTGAGGACCTCCCAGTGACCCCAGCTTCCTAAGAGCTCCACCAACTTTCATGAATGCCACCTTGAAGAACAAGCATGCAATACATGGCCTACTGGGAGACAGTCACATCCATATACAACAGGAAGCTAGTTTTATCCCCATGCTATATATTATTTTTTTCTCATGTTTATCTTTGCCTTTTATCTTTTAAAATAGTGTCTTCTAGTATTTGGACTTTCAGAGTTATGTGGCATAATGTGTCAAAATTGTCCTGAATATGTTATGAAGTTATTTTCAAAACTTTCTCAAAGTACTGATTAAAAAACAATCAACTACAGTTCTGTAGTGCTGCTTGCAATTGTGATTATATGACTGAAATATTTTCAAAAGTCATTGTGTTACAAGTGGAAAATGAGTGGATTTTAATGTGAGATAAATTTATGTGATGCAGAAGTCAGGTAAGAATTTTTTTGTAGAAAAGTAGGGGATGGGGAAACACAATGAAGACATGATGGTCTCCTGCTATATCTAGAAATGGAGTTAGACATCTGAATGGTAACACTTTGTGGAAATTCCAATGTTCATATTTATTACTGCTTCAGCATCTTGGTTAAAGGGAAAACAGAATTTGTGAGAAAAGTAACCATCTTCAAGTGCAAGCTTTTGCTGGTGGACACCAAATTCCGTTATCTGTGCACAGAAGAGAGGGGTGAGGGAAGGCGAGCAGGAGATAAGTGAGTCTCAGAGCCAGGTGGAGAGCAGATTCCAGATTTTAATCATTCCAGTTCAGGACACAGAGTACATTGCCTTGGAGAAGAGGAGGCCTCTAATGCTTTTAGGGGAACAGCCTGGGCTTCTGGACACAAGTACCAGGGCAGAGCTCAGATCTCTCAGTCATTCATGCAGTCTCAGACAGCAGGAAGTGAGGTCCACTTCAGCAGCAGCCTCCAGACTGCTGGCCACTGCCCCCTCCACAGCAGCTGGAGCCCCCCGAGGGCTGGCTGCAGGAGCTAGAGCTCCGGTGTCTGTGGCGGTGGGACCTGCGGGGCCTGTGGTGGCTCAGGCAGCAGCCACCACCCCCAGAGCTGCAGCAGCCCCCAGAGGTGGAGCCACAGCAGCCCCCAGAGCTGGAGCCACAGCAGCCCCCAGAGCTGGAGCCACAGCAGCCCCCAGAGCTGGAGCCACAGCAGCCCCCAGAGCTGGAGCCACAGCAGCCCCCAGAGCTGACGCTGCAGCAGGAAGAGACCGGGGGACACTTAGGGGGGCACTTGGGGGGACACTTGGGTGTTTGGCACTTAGGAGGGCACTTGGGGGTGCACTTGGGAGGGGGCTGGCACTGCTGCTGGTTCTGCTGGCACGACATCTTGGTGGCTGAGTAGGAGTTCACAAGCTAGAGAAAATCCAATACAAATTAGACCTGGCCACAGGCCACACGTGAACACTCTAAATCTAACTCTTAGCAACACTTGCGCCATAGAAACTTCATCTCTAGTCATTACATTTTTGATACCTTCGACCTATTATACATCACCACATGTATCTCTCTGAATTCAGGGTACCTGCTGAGTCACACAAGACTTGCCATGGTTATACAGCAGTAGCAAACTGAGACCAAACTATATTATAGCACATATTTAAGTCCAAGATTTGTAGAAGGAAATTGGAGGTGGAAAATCACTGCAAGCATCTTTAGACTTTAAAGTTGCCCAATTGAAAGGTCATTACAGGGAAAATATTTTTTAAATGGAAAGGCAATCATTTCCCTTCATCATAATTTACAAGATTATCTGACCATACGAGTCAGTGTTGCTAAGGATTTACAGATTACTGCGTCAGTAAACTCAACCTTAAGAGAAGAGGCTAACGAACTCCTCAAATCCTGCCGATCTGGAGCTTGAATCTCAGGCATCCAATGTCCACCCAGAAACCAGACGTCATCAGCTCACAGCCTACTGAGGCTTATGGCTTGAATGGCAATTTCAGGCATGTGGTATCTTAATCAGCTTGGAAAATGCCAACAAACCCCACACCCATGGATCCCCTAGCCCAAAGCAGCTCCCAGTGTTCTATTCTGGCTCGAAGTTTCCCTTTGCTGTCAGAGACAGGGCTGTATTCTCAGGCACAGGCTGCCTCCCATCCAAGTGGAGGAATACCCTATGTTTTAGAGTCTCCCGTCCTGGTGAGTCTACCCCGTAACAGAGCAGTTTGTTCTCTCCAACCCCCAAATACACACACATCCATTTCTCCCACGTTCCCTCATGGGCGCCAGAGTCCTCTTTTGCTCCCACCTTTCAGTCTTCCCTAAACTCTAGTCCTCTGAAACATGGCCTCTCTCCCTGAGGGCGCTGTCCAGCCTCCCCTCCTGCTGCCATTCCCCGTGGGCACTTACCGGGTCACAGGAGCACAGAATCTCTCTACACCACAGGAGGTGAGTAGATAGAGGTGCTCCGTCCCTGTGCCCTTTTATGCTTGCCTTCAGCTCTGCCCCAGCGTGTGAGACAGGACCTGGGCATGGGAGGCCCCGCCTCCTGCCACCCACATGATATTGTGTCAAGCGATGACTGGCTGTCCCTCACCTGCCTCCCTTCATCAGGCTTAGAGATGCCACATCTTGGGAGGAACAGAGTTTTTTTTTTAGAGAGTGGCAGGTTTGGGGGCAATTTTTATATGCTCTGCTACTTTATTCTGTATGGTAATGCAAGCCCTGGTGAAGTCTTAGTTCTCAGTTTTGGAACTTGAGTCCCCAGTTCTGTTGGTTTTTTGTTGATGCTGATAAAACCCAGTTCGCTCTTTATATCCTGGTTTGAACAATAATTTAGAGATGATTTCATGGACTCGCCACTTCTGTCTGTGTCATCCATCCTATTTGTCAGCCAACTTCTCCCTGCTGACCCAGTCTGTTGCCTGATTTTATATAGCCTGTGAGCAGAAAATGGCCCTTATGTTAAAATGTAAGAAGGGAAAACAAAGGAAAATATTTCAGGACACATAAAACTTTATTAAACTCGAATTTCAATGTTCATACTATTTGATTTATTTGGAACTCAACCTTATCCATTCCTTCATTGATGATCTGTGGTTATTTTTACATTATCAAGTCACAGTTGAGTAGTTGAGGCAGAAATGACTTGATTCCCAAAGTTTAAATATTTTATCTCTGTTTCTTCATTTAAAAACAAATGGCTCCACCCCATGTTGATAGCGTAGAATCAGACAAACTTAGCGAACAAGCCTGGCTGGGACTGTTATTTGGTAGCTGTGTGTCCTTGTGGAACTTACTTACCTTCATTCAGTTTTAGTTCTTTTTGCTTATTTTTTTGTTTTATTAATTATAAGGTACAGGTAGTGGGCAGAAAGATAACAAATTTGAGCCCTGTCTCAAAGCTTAATGACACCACAAGATCCTGTCTCCAAAAATAAATAAACAAATAAAGAAAATAAAGGGGTAGTAGTGTAGCTCAGAGCAATAGTGTTCTCTCTCTCTCTCTCTCTCTCTCTCTCTCTCTCTCTCACACACACACACACACACACACACACACACACGTCAGTCACAGTCAGTAAGGAATATAAGGCAAGGTCTGGTTGAAGGATAGTCATAGGATAGACTCTCAAAAACTGAGATGCCTACATATTCTTTAATAAAGGCAAGTGGATATCATCTTTAAGTCATTGCTGCTTTCAAGGGATGGTGAACCTGGATCTTGAAGTTGTTTGTGTTTTTCAGTTACCACTAGTATTAAGGCCCTTTGTTCAGCTAAGTATACTGATACATTTTGCTACGAATGCACCAGGAAAGGAGCTTGTGGAAGAGCAGGAGAATTCTCCATTGTTCCACATCATCTGAAAGGCCAATCTCAAGTTCCTTGGGGTCCTGTTGCAGGGAGGAGTGTCACCCAGCCGCGGGGCCATGGAGGAGGAGAAGGCACTGGAGAAGGCGAGGCTTTATGTTCGGGAACCTTGGGTTGAAGACAAGGTGAGAGGACCTCTGGAATCTTTTAAGCCCTGCATTTCCCCATCTCTAGCTTTTCAGTATTGTTTTCTCTGCTTGAATAAAGGGTTTCCTTCCATCTCTTAAAGGGAAAGGCCAGGAGCTCACAGCTGGTGCAAGTTGGTGTACAACACCATGGTGAGATTTCCAAAAATAAATCTATTAACTAACTAGAAGAAGGAACATTGAACCCTGAAGAAGAACATGAGGAAAAGCTCTTTCTTCTTCCCTACAGTGGCAGAAACCCTGGAGGAAAATCTGAATCCTCCATGGCCTGGAACAATGCCCTACATCTATAATACCTAGGTCATCAGGGAAAGAGTGAATCCAAGTTCACATATAGCTTCAAAATGTAAACATGTCCTTACGCTTAACTGTTGAGGTGGGCAAGTAGTGTGCTAAGAAGCTAAATGTGTGCCTTGTAAAGATATATGATTTTCAGGAAGTGCATGTATGTGTAGACACTTCATTGGCTCATCCTGGTTTGTCTTCCATCCCTCCTGGCTACACAAAAATCTACTTCATTAGAACTCTTCTAAAAATTATTAACCATGAACATTTAATAGAGTGACCATACATCCCAGTTTGCCAAGGACAATTTTAGATTTTGTTTTTGTCTCAGCGTTACATTACCATAACCCTTCTCTTCAGTCTCAAGTGTGTTCCATGCACTCAGATTTGGAATATAATTTCTATAATCATGCTACCATTAAGCGAAGTCTTTTCAAAGGTCTTTGTTGACTCAGGATGAATGCCTAGCTCTTGCATTCAAGGACTGGAGCAGAATGACCTGACCCTGTTCTGTTTCTATAGGGTTTTCTGTGCTTCCGTAAAAGCAGTAATCATTCTTGCAAGCTGGCTCTTTGTCTGTCAGCGCTACTCCCTGCTTTGCCTGTGTATTATTTTAGGTGGCATGTCTCTGAAATGAGACCCGGGCCTGGATGTGACATGCGTGCATCTGCCATCCACTTTCAGAGCAGGGATATCATACAGTCATTCCCTCAGCATTTAGTAGCTCCTTGGAATTTACAAAGAGCTTTTCCAGATGACTCAAGGTAATCACAGATGTGACTGACCCTAAGGCATGCACAAGTATAGGTGGTGCCATGTCCCACAGTGGTCTGCCATTGTATTACTCAAGGTGGATCCTTGTTCTGAGGTTCCTCCAAAGGGCTCAGTTGTGGAAGGACAGGTCAGAATATAGATCCCTTGGCTCCCACAGGTAGTGCTCCTCAGAAGCCATGCTCATGAGTCCTAGGATGACGTAACAAGATGTCCTGAGTCATGCCTTGGCCTCTATTCAGGACAACACCCGCTGCCAATTAATCTGACTTGGACAAGTGACAAACCAGCAGCATGGTTGTAGTACCTTGAGAATTCATTTCTAAGCTTTGGTGACTAGATTTAAATGTAATGGGTACCATTTCAGCAGAAAAAGAAAAGTTTGCTGGCAAGAGATTTGTTTTGTAAGGCCAGCTATTCACTCAGGATATTTAGCCCATGTCATCTCATGTCTTGGGGGATAAGGGGAAAGATGACTGAGCTCTATGGGAAGTAATTTCAATTCCATGAATTTTTCCCTCCTCAACCCCACAGCCCCATTGGACATAGGAGCTTGTATGTCAAATATTCTTTAACTTGGTCCCCTCCCTTTCAAAGAGTCCATTTTGTTCTATAAATTATTTTTAAATGCAAATTTAGTCATAAAATATTTATGACCTCTAATGCATTGAAAAAAATATTTTTAATGGGTAAAGGGAAAGGACATACGTAAGAAAGAACTCATAAGTATATTTCTAAAAAGTATATTTCTAATACTTAAAAATTCATATAGCAAATAGTTCTATAAATAAGACAGAAAGAAAAATAATCATTTGGTATAAATTATGTTGCCTCTACTAAGTTAGGTACAAAATTAACTCATAAAACTGAGTAGGGAAAATATGGTGACAGAATAGCCAAAGACCATTAATGTGTGATTCATATACTGAGAAAGAAATACAAATGGTTTCAAAGAAAACGTAAAATATGTCCAACATTATTGATAATCAAAGAATGAAAAGATAAAAACAAATATCACATCTTTTTTCACAGAGTAGCTATCCAATTCATTCATGTAGATCAGATTGCCCAAGATTAAATGCCTAACAAAAATTCAGTGGAAAAAGTAGAATATGCTCTAGTGTCCTAAAGTATAGCAGAGTGAATGTAATTAATAATAATACATTTCACAAAATAATTAGAAGGTGGAAATTTGCATATACTCACTGCAGAGAAATTAAAAAATCTAAGCTTATTAATATGCTAATTATCTCGAGTTGTTCATTATCCTTTTATATTTAAATCAAAGCATCACATTCGATTCCATAAATAGG